TTGTATATCAATCCAGTATAGATGGAAAACAAACCCATCAGTAGAATGATGTAGCGGCCACTAAAGAACGTAGCAAATATCTAAAACTATTAATCATAAATAACTAATGAATAAATTTTGTCAAATAAAAATAATTTTAGACAATCATTTGCAAGAGATAACACAGACCTCATCAGTTATGTTTCCATCTAACTTTTTCTCACGGATAACAAGATATAACGCAGCTGCTGTGACCAACATTCCATGACCAAAATCACCAAACATGACAGCAAAAAGGAAAGGGAACGTAATAATAGTGAATAATCCAGGATTAACCTCTCTATATTTTGCCACACCGTATGCGTCAACTATATCTTGAAAGCCAACAGTGAATTTGTTGACACGAATAAAAGTGGGTGGTTCTTTCGTTGTGCGAAGCTCGTTTAAAATTGATGGCACAGTTGAACCGGATTGTTCCTAGAAGAAAAAACTTTATATATTAACATAAAAATAATAATAATAATAATAAACAAAATAAAATTTGTAAAGATCAGATATCATACAGTAGCAGTTTTCAGAGCTAGATTAATTTTATCAAAGTCATTACTTGGACACCATCCTTCTGCAATTAAACATTTGCGACTCGCATCGTAATTAAATAAGTTCATCGTATGATAAATTGCTTTCTCTTTCTTAACGATTGTCATCCAAATATTCAAATTCTCGAAAATTTTTTGCAATTCTGTTCTTCGAGTATTTTTAGTATTTTGCAAGACAGTATTAAGATCCGCAATTTGTAGCGTTATTTTCGTTAATTTGTTATCCCTCAGTTCAGGGTTGTCATTTACTGGATAAAGGGTTGCACCTAATGATTCCGATATTTTCATGATCTTATTTAAGAGTTCTTTTCCGTGAGCAAATATAATAAATACATTTTTTTCTAGCACTTCGTCGGTTTCTGGATCAGTAATTGGTTCATCAATTTCAACATATTTTAGGTATAAGTTTCCACGCAATACACGCCAAAGTATAAGCTCAAAAGTTTGCATTTTTGCTCGTGCAATAACACCAGTAACAAATCTATTTTTGAGATGATGATAAATAATTTAAAAAATTCATGGGAAAAATATCAATTATCAATACTGATCCAAGATTAAGATGATGGAGAACCAAGGATTCACCATGTTCAATGTCCTGTTGTTGTTCCAATAATGGTGCAGTAGGCTCATCAAGGGAATTACGTATGGTATCTTGACGAGAAGTAGCCTAGATGTAAAAAGTATTAATTATATGTTAAGCAATTTAAGATAATGTAAGATTGATTATTTTTATCATACCTCGTCAAAAAATATTCTAGT